CCACGCTTATAACGCTAGCACGCTAACCAATACGCTATAGCTGGGTTCTAGAAAACGTTACATGAATAGTCGTTTCAATCGAAGCGTAACATGAAAAATGTGCACTTTGGATGTGATTTTTTGTATTTTTCACGAAAATTATAAGAGATAATGATTAATGAGTTAGTGTGTTCAGCAAAGTTTTTTGGACTTGACCAATTCTATACCTTTGTTGAAGATAACATTTCGTTATCTCTTATCATTTTCGCAAAAACACAAAAAACCACATGTAACGTTCTTAAGTTTTTTTCTTTTTTCTTTTTTCATGCGTGCATCGCTTACGTTCACACAAACAACAGCTAGCGAGCTGCAATTCATGCTTTTAATAGAATAAAACTTTGCTTCAAGAAAAAATTGAATTATACCAACCGGATTTCAATAAACCTTTCGATTTAACAACAGATGCAAGCAACTTTGCTATTGGTGCAGTTCTGTCACAAGATGGAAATCCTATAACTTTTATTTCTCGTAATTTATCTGATACGGAGAAAAATTATGCCACTAACGAAAAAGAAATTTTGGCAATTGTCTGGGCTTTACAAAAACTACGAAATTATCTGTACGGATATACTGATCTGACTATATACACAGATCATCAATCTCTAATCTATTCAATTTCCGAAAAAAATCCAAATACGAAGTTAAAAAGATGGAAAAATTTTATTGCTGAATTTGGGGCTGAAATAAAATATAAACCTGGTCATCAAAACATTGTTGCTGACGCACTCTCTCGTCAGAATATCTATTTCACTCAAATGGATTCTACCATTCACTCAATAAACAGTTCTCCAATGGAAACCATTAAAAGGGTACCATATTCTATAAATAAATTTAAGAATCAAATCGAACTTAAAAAATCGAATGTAGACTCTGTTACTTCAACAACTTATTTCGATCATTTTCAAAACTATAAAATTAATTTTTCCAATAATACCAACATGATTAAAAATTTGAAAACATGCATATCGGAAAACCGAGTGAATGCAATTTTTGGTTCAGAAGAATTATTCTACCAGATTGGAAAGTTGATTTCTAATAATTTTCCCAACTCAAGAATTGTATTCACAACAAATAAAGTAAACAATATAACCAACTAAGATGAGAGATTGGGTTTAATAATGGAAATACATAATGGAGCTCACAGAAATCCCTTAAATAATTTTCTTGAAGCTCAAGAAAAATATTTCTGGCCATCTATGAAAAAAGATTTCAAACAAACAACAAGAAATTGTGAAATTTGCAAAATGGAAAAATACGAAAGACGATCAACGAAACATCCAATTGGTAAAACGCCGATTCCTAACAAAATAGGGGAATCTATTTCAATGGATCTTTTCCATCTTGATAATAGAATATACATAACTTTTTTGGATCGTTTTTTCAAAATTTTTGAATATTTTTTTAATTGAAAATAAAACTAATTTTCATATTAAACTTGAGGAAATATTTACACAAATTTTTTCTGAATGTAAAACGATCGTTACTGAAAACGAATCAATTTTCGTGAGTAATAGTGCTAAATCGGTTTACAATCGCTATAATATAACACAAACCACAACGCCAGTTCAGTATTCAACAACGAACGGGCCAGTGGAAAGGGTACACAATACAATAATTGAATTGAGTGGGTGTTTGGCAAGGAAAAACGAATCATCACCGGGCGAAGAAATTTATAACGCTGTAAAAGAGTATAATCAAACAATACATAGTGTAACCGGAGTTAAACCTGTCGATGTTCATTTACATCCGGAAAAATTTCCAGAAATTTTTGATAAAATTAAGTTAGACAAGGAAAAATTGTTGAGATATCATAACAAGAACCGCGATATAAAAACATTTAATGTGGTGGAAGTTATTTATGTGAAAAGTAATAGACGAAGAAAGGATTCAAGTGCTTACACAAAACATATCATTAAAGAAGACCGTGGCGATACAGTTCTTACAACAAAAAATAAGGTCTATCACAAAGACAGCATCAGGAAAAATTGAATAATGTGGTCTTGGCTTTATTTATTAGTAACTATATTTACTTACATAAAAAATTTTACTTTCTTTTTCAAGTTAATTCAAGAAAATATATTTTTGTTATTATCTTTGATTTCAATTTTCATACTTGCTTTGATAATTAAAATTATAAAACAATTAACGAAATGTATTCAAAACTTTAGAACGAAAAAAGATGATGAGTTGGAATTACATTGCTACGAAGATATGCCTACAGAGGTAGAATTATCCAACATAAAAATTGAAAAAATTTAATTTCTCTTTAATTTAAATTACAAACATCGAATGTTTCTTTTGAAGTTATGTTTTAAGAGAAAAACTGTTAAATTGAAATTTACTTTTTATTGTACTTTAACCTTACTATCTAACAATTTCTGCCTTTGCTACCTTTGAACATCTAGTATGATCCCTCACGAACATTTTAAGTACCTACATGACCAAGTCGAATGATGTTTTCATATATTTCTAGCCGCATATTCGGTTGGTTCGATTTCAACTCTGAGAAAATCGATTTTTGGCCAAAAAATCCTTAAGTATAGACCTTTTAGGGTGGGTGTCTTTGTGCAAAGTTATTTTTCTTCGAAAATATGGGGAGTCTTACCAGACAAAAACTCTGAAAATTGGCTTTTTGAGGTACCTCCTGAACAAAAGTTACGTTTTTCATGCATTTTGCTAATAATGTAAAATGTATATTTTATTCCGAAATCTTGTCTTTACATACCAATTTTTCCACAATTGTCAAACGAAACAGAGGCGAGTTAAGAACGATGTTACCGCAACTGTGAGTGATACAGTACTGACGACGCTAGCGAACGGAGTACGAGGTGCATAAATATAGCAAGATTGATTAATATAGCAAGCCCATATGAATGCCGGGTGATACAAGTAGAAACATGTTTTCACATGTATGAGTAATTCTGTTGATTATTTCGGTTTCGGAGAAATCTACTGCGAACTAAGCAAATGCGTCTGCTGTTTATTGATATTTTCAGTGAATAGACGACAGAACAATGCCAAGAAACTGTGATGTAATATCAACATTGGGGCGGAGATTCATGTTTGAAATTCAACTCAATGAATATTTGGTGTTATTTATGTATATATTATGTATACGGGAGGTACCCTTGAAATACACTTTTTGGATAGGTGTCTTAAAAAAAGTTATTTTTTTCGAAAAAAATTGGGAATCTACTCAAACAGAAGCTCTTAAGAATGATTTTTGAGGTACCTCCCGAACAAAAAATGATATTTTCATAGCAAAATGCATGAAAAATGTAACTTTTGTTCGGGAGGTACCTCAAAAAGCCAATTTTCAGAGTTTTTGTCTGGTAAGACTCCCCATATTTTCGAAGAAAAATAACTTTGCACAAAGACACCCACCCTAAAAGGTCTATACTTAAGGATTTTTTGGCCAAAAATCAATTTTCTGAGAGTTGAAATCGAATCAACCGAATATTGGGCTAGAAATATATGAAAACATCACTCGACTTGGTCATGTAGGTACTTAAAATGTTCGTGAGGGATCATACTAGATGTTCAAAGGTAGCAAAGGCAGAAATTGTTTGCTCAATGGGGTGATTTAGCCGTGAAACTGAAGCTCATGGTCGTGATTTGCACAATTTGGTCCCAGAAAATCGTACTTTTTGACACAAAAATCACACAAACCTGTAACAAATGAAACTAGAAATCGATCCCTCGTCTAAAATTGGCTGGATATAGACACATTTTCGTAGGTATGTTGGCTATAATTTGGCTTTTAGAATTTTTAATTGAAAAAAAATGGCCAAATTTGAGGTGATTTTCGAATATTTGTTGCTCCATGTCCAGAGGCACATTTTGAGTTGTGATATGGCGTTATATCGATAGCTAGGAACAAACTGAGTCTGATAGAGGTATTTTCAGATTGATTTATAGTGGACTGGATCACCATAAATGGGCAAATATACAGAAAAATGACAAATTTCGGCGATTTTCGGCAAATTGACACTATTTTTTTTTAAATATCCTGAAATAAATCGCTGTGAATCGATCCTATTCAACGTAGTTTGTTACGAGCTGCTGAATTACGGCAAAAAACGGTATGTTTATGCATCACATTTAGAGCAAATTGCGATAATATGTCGAAAAATGGTCATTTTTTTGGTGATTTTCAAAAAAAATCCGGGGTGACACCAGGCACTATATATCAAAAAAGTGCCGGAACAAAATTTTCATCTCTCCTCATGATCTTTCGATCCCGCACTATTAAATTTTGAATCCTTTTTTTTTGAAAATTGATCACCCCTAATACACATGTAGCGCTACGTACTATGTTTACTCTTTTTATACAGTGGACGCTCCTCCGGGTAATCATCCGCCAAATTTGTATTATATGTAATATATAAATGGCAGCGGGTATGCGCTGTACGTGAGTTCAAGCGAAATCAAAATACAGTTTGTCCCAACCTTTCCGGTTGGTTATATTATAATGTGTTCGTTATCTACACTGAAATAAGTGGTGAAACAATTTTGAAGTTTTAAATTCTGTTTGTAATAATTCATATTAAAATGGAGGGAACATGTGTTTGTACTTGTCATACTCAACTCGTTGGGAATCTATGAACATAATAATAGTACATTCATTTGTATGTGAACATTCAGTTGAGTTGGTTGGAATTCCAATTTTGTTCCCAACGAAAGTAAGTGATTTAATATCAACATCGTTTTAATTTAAATAGTGGTCTTAAAGTGGTTGATAGAATTTAAATACCATCGTGGATTCGTTGTTTAGAGAAAAATGAAAGAAGAATATAAGAATAAAAAATCTATATAGAATAGAGGTTGTGGAGTGGAAATTACTGTAAACATGGACCTTAGTCATTTCAATGTGTTCAATTTCAATCGGCTGCGATATTTGAGTGTGTGTATACACACCAAATAAAGTTGCATACTTCAGCCTACATCAATACAAAGAGAATCGCTTTCTATGTGCTTCGTTAAAAAAAACTTTCATGTTGCACTTTGAAACCAAAATATTCTGAGGGAATTTGTTTGTCGCAACGGTTCAAATAGTCTGTTGAATAAAGATTATATTGATTCAGTCCTTGACCCGATCCGATAATACATCTTTTATTAAACTACATAGGTATTATACAAATTACATGACGAGTTCGGCAGTTATACGGACTATGAAGTAATGAAAATAAGTCAATGAAATACGCATTCCATTTATCGATGAGCTAATGATATTGAGAATATCTCCTAATGACCTAATGTTAATGATAACATCATAATTTCCAATAAAAGTGAAGTGAAACTTTAATTAGCTCTGATCAAGTGACGCAATCATATCAAAATTAATGTTTTCATTCAGCAAGCTAAACGGGGCCCGAATTGTTTAAGGACTGAAAATAAAAATATATGTTTTACATTTACTTTGTATCAAATGGCCAATTCAAAACAACATCGAATTCTTCCTAATTTAATAATTAATTAATTATTGTAATTCTAATTTCAGTTATTGTGCTGTTTTAATGTGTAAAATTGTGCGAAAAAAAGTATTCGATGCATAATGAACGTATAATTCTAGAACATCAAAATGCAAGTGAGAGAATCTGAACTGTATCTATATTTCAGGTAACAAAATTCGATGACGCCAAGGAAGTTGTCGCCAAATTCATTATCTAATCAAGAACAGAAACAAACGAACAACAAGTGTTAGCATTCAACAGCAATTATGGAGAAAAAATGCAAAATAACGGCAGCAACAGAGGCGGCTACAACAACATTGTAATACACTTTCTTTTTTCGGTAAGAACGGAGGTGTAGCGCTATCAAAGCGCAAGCCACGCAGTGGCGCGGTTCGTCTACGCATGTCGGTGACCAATGTATATGCCTATCTGAATAAATACACTCTTAACTTAACACGCAAACCTATCAGTTGTATCTTTCATTCTCTCCCCTCTCATTCGTACATTTTTACATATCAAATGATTGCAAACATTGATGTGTATGGACTAGTTTTCATCTGAAATTGTCAGCCGTATGTTATTCTAGTTGTTATTGGATTGCGAAAGCATCAAAATTGACTATTAATGAGCACATTTCTATACGTATTTTGTCAATTTAACGTTTTTTTCACTATTATTTCAATACATTACGGGTAATGATGATTTTCATGCAACTGGTATACATGTAAAATCAACTACCGCATTTTTTTGCGTGAAAAAGTGCATAAAACCATTATAGCTTTGAGATAAATGGTATTATTGTCAATTTGTTCGAAATTTTGATGTTAATTTTGAAAGGTTCTCCCTAAAATGGACTGCTAAATCCTGCAGAAGCAGTGAATAGACAATAAAACAATTGAATTTATCGAAAAATATAAGATTATGGTCAATTGAACTTACCTGTAATTCAGTGCTCTACACTTTGTACCGGACATTCAGCAGGTTTCCACTCATCATGATGCGCTTT